TGGACAATTACATTGCTGGTGTTTAGAGAGAAGTAGGCAAACCCAGAATACCCATACAACAATCGAATTTCTCGCCTTTTTTAAAAACGGTTCGCATTCTTTTTGTAGCTTGCAGATGAAAGTCTCCAGGACGCGAAGTGAAGCGTGTCGAATTGTCAGTCGCCAATCCAGCGATAGTTTCGGGAAAACAGCAACAAATGATTTAAAGCCTGCCTTCGCATCCACAAGCGACGCTTCAGTAAGCAATTCGCCCAGCTCTTTCAAACCCTGCAAAGTGAACATCATGCAGGAGACGTAAACTTGTGAAATCAGAAGTCTGTACAAGAAGCATGTGCCCGAGAAGTAAGCAGCCCCATCTATAAGCCATCTTACTGCCGTTTAGAGACGGAAACTTTCGAAACGAGTAAGCATGCTCAACACACACACACACAAACCAAGGATATCTCGAAACAGCTAAAGCCCCGCGACAAGCACTCTGACCCGAAAAACCGCCAAGTTGCTAATCCCAGCAGACAGCGAAACAAAAGTCAGAATTCCCAGCAGACTGACCGGACGATGCAGCTTGCCAAAGAAACTACAAAGCCGAAGAATGTGCCAGCTGCACAAGTGGAGCTATTTCCGGAGAATCAGTTGTGCACTGAATAAGGCCCTGGAGTGAGCTGTAAGGGATTGCGCAATGAAATGCACGGCACTACGTGGTCGTACTCGAGCAATGTTTCGAAATATGCGGAATAATCTCAAAAAGAATCAGTTGCATAAAACAAAGAAAGGGGAAGGCCCCCAGAAGTAATAAAAAAAACAAAATTTAAGAGGAAAGTTTGTCGGATTCTCCAAGACAACCTTTTCACGTGTTAGCGCATCCTTTTTGATTAACTTCTTCAAGGCGATTTGCATCTCCGACTGAGAGATATCATCGTCAATTTCCAAATCGTCAAGCATTCTACTTGTCGAGGACGTATCGCATTCAGTGAACGTTGCCGAGGAAGCTGTCTGTCCGAAACTGGTCAGCAAATCGGCAGCCTGAGCGCTGCTTGCTGCCTGCAAAACGAGAAATGAAATGCGTCAATCAAAGCTTGATTATTCTAACACAGTGGCAGCGCTCACACAAACTTCTCGCCCCAAAAACACGAACAGCGGTACTGGAAGTTCGCTGGAAAAATCAATGTTCAAGTGAAAATTATTATTAAGTTTACTAGGGCCAGCCACAGTCGACGAAGGCGTAGTATGTTAGGAGAAATGCTCCCACTAGCTATGCCAGGCCCTTTGACGCTGCACTGCGTACCGCACCACATATACACCTTTGTTCGACGCACATACGGAGACGTGCACTACTCGATGGCTGCCGGGAAGCCAAGCAACACCTCTTGCTCGGATTATCTTACCGTCTCCCGTACTCGCATTGCGAGTCTAACTGTTCACACGCACACACACACACACACACACTTCACGAATTTTTCACTACACTGCTCCTTACGATACACTGCTGTGAAAGCTGATATCCTCCGCGCGCTCCGAAAGCTAATTTAAGCGACGAAGATGCAGTCCGCTGTGCTTTAATTACTTCGGAATCCTGGCATGCATCCTCAGTTATTAGGCAATTCGTGATAATTTCCATACACAACCTGCGAATACAAAAGTCATACAGACCGGACGGTGATTTTTATGCGTTTTTTGCATCTGTGCAATGCAGAAAACGCATACTGACGAGAGGGTGTCTGTGTGTTCGTCTGTACCGATTTTTTATTTCGAGATCTACAAAAGCTACAGGGCTGAAACTCTGGGAACTTAATTTACGTGTACGTACGGGCCCCTGTTCCCAAAATGGGCGCTTTCCCCGCGTGGTACCCACGTACATGTCCGTCAAAGTCTTTGACGAGCAAGCTGCTCACTTGGGAAACAGAAAAGCTGGAAAGGTGAAATTTTAAGAGGATTTCAGCTTCCGAGCTAAAATTTCAGCTTCCAAGCTTCCATAATTCCCGAGATAACAAATTTGCCCGTTAAAACTTCCATGGGGTAGCATGTGATATCCGGGGGGCAGGGAAAAACTGAAATTAAATTTTTCGGGATCAAACGTGGGCGAGGAATATCCCCCTAAAATTTCAGCTTCCTAGCTTTTGTGGTTCCCGAGTTGAAAGTGCTACGGACAAGATGCATCAGGCACAAATACACAGACAAGCCCGTGATAGTATGCATTTTGTGCAGCTCTTGCATAGTACAAAACGTATAAAAAGGCCTTGAGAATACAGCAATCATCGGTCAAGGAGTAATCCGCTTCTGCGCTGCGTCCCTCCAATTATTCGAGATCACTTCTTGCAGATCATAAAAACTGACTCCGCCAAAATTCCTTTGCTCTTTTGCTGTGTTGCGCAGAACCGTTTTACCGTAATTTAGGATGACGATGTGATCGATCACTCGCTGCGTTTCGCATATACTGAGGAAATCGAACGATGTTTCTCGAGGAGACTCTTTAAGGGTTCATCTTCTGGCAGCAATTTACAGATGTAGATGCACCCCCAGCGACCCAGTTCTTTTTCGTGGTAGCATCCTTTGGTCGTCGGGGACCCTCAAAATCCTTCTGCCACCCGCTGTCGACTCGCCGTCATAGACCACCCCAAAGGGAGAAATAACAACTCTTTTTATGTGTTTTGTGCTGTGCAACAGCAGTACAAAACGCATATCGTCACAGGGTTATCTGTGTGTGTAGCAACTTGCCCCGCAACTTTCAACTTGGGAACCACAAGAGCTAGGAAGCTGAAAATTTAGGGGAATGTTCTTCGGCCAAGCGCGACCCCGCAAATTTAAATTCACCTTCCCCGTAACCACGGGTAAAATGCACGGCCCCGCAAAAGTTTTGGCGGGTAATTACACGAGCTACAAGGCTGAAATTTTAGGGTAATGACTCCTTGTCCACGTACGATCTTGCAAACTGAAATTCAGTGTTCCCGCTCTCTCGGGTATCATCTACGGTCCCGTGAAAATCTTGGCGAGTAAATTATTATCTCGGGAACCACAAGTTCTACGAAGCTGAAATTTCAAGGCAATGACCCTCCGCCCACGCACGATCTTGCAAATTCAAATTCAGTGTTCCCGCGCTTTCGGGTATCAGCTACGGCCTCTTGAAAATTTTGGCGTGGAAATTATTATCTCGGGAACCACAAAGTCTCCGAAGCTGGAATTTTAGGGTAATGATCCCTTGCCCACATACGATCTTACTTATTCAAATTCAGCATTCCCGCGCTCTCGGGTGTCACCTACAGCCTCGTGAAAGTTTTAGCGGGTAAACTATTATCTTGGAAAGATATTCACCCTTCAAGGTTTCAAATTACAAAGCGGTGAAAATAGGCAAACGTTCGGTGGGTGGAACTGCATAAAACGCATGATCGCACCGGCTACGCTGGTGCGCGTTGCTATTTATTTTTTACTGTTTTACTGCCGTCGCTCCCCTTGCGGTACTGTGAAATGTGTATTTTTTCAGTGTCTCTCCTGTATCTGCATGACTTCAATTACACCATCCCCTACTGGACAATGGTCCGTACCGACTAAGCCTAGCAGGACAAAGTGGGGCACGTCTCAGTTAACTTGAATATGGCTGAATTTTCATTCCGCCAGCCTTGCCGCCACATCCTTGCTAATCCCACAACACAATGGGATTCCTGAGCCGACAATTTGTAGAACAATTAAAAAAGTACACGGGCTATTTCAGATTGCATATAAATAAATCGGCGAGTGAAAAAAAAAGCAACGAACCCTGGCATTGCCTTTGCGACGCTGTTGCTTACTCATTGGCCTGCAATGATTGTCAGTGATCCAAACATTCAAAAATACAGGAAAAAAAAACTTCCCTAGGGCAGTCCGTGGATCGTAATTCACTTTCTGAGGGACGCACACGCTCGGCAGATGCCCTGCTGCAAGCACACGCCAGCAGAACAGGCTGTCGGTGACAGCCCCCCTCCCCCTCCCGACAGCTGATCACCCCTGCATCGTGCAACAGCACCAGCCCCGACATCCGAATGACTAACAACCAGGTCAGGCCCGAACAACCCGAACCAAATCCACAGCTCAAAAGTGGCAGCCCGTGCACCATACAGCGACGATCTACCCTTCAAGCGAAAATCAGGCAGTTACTAAAACTCGGCTCGGCCGCAATTGAGAGACCCCCTCGTTTCTCTGTCTACGCTATTATTTCGGAGTTGCGCCTGTCGGCACTGCCTGTGGCAATTTGCCAACGAGTACTGGGTAGTGTTGTCCAGAGTTTCGTAGTTGGACGACGTGGTTGGGTGGGCGGTGGGTAGAAAGTTGGGAATTGGTTGGGGAGTGGTGGCTAGTGGGTGCTCAGATGTCGCTTTGGAGACAAGGATTGGGGATAGGAGAGAGGACGGAACGAGGGTACTGGTCAGGAGTTCGAGATAAGAAAAGGAGACAGAAGAAAAAAGAAAGAGACAATGCAACACTACGAAGAAAAGTAAATTAAAGCAAACCTGAGCCTGTGAAAAAAGCGGAAATTAAGGACCGGAACTTATGAATAATAAATAGCAGCGCGCACCAGACTAGCCAGTGCGATCATGCGTTTTGTGCAATTCAGCCTATCGAACGATTGCCTATTAATGATTTTCACTGCTTTTTACTTTAGTCTATGCAAAAATAGTCCAAACATTGGAAAACAGTTAAAAATTTCTCGCACCAGCGCATGACAGTTGAATTCGGAACCTCAAAGGGTGAATATCTTTATCCCGAGTTAATAGTTTACCCGCCAAAATTTTCACGAGACCGTAGGTGATACTCAAGAGCGCGGGAACGCTGAATTTGAATAGGAAAGGTTGAGCGTGGGCAGGGGGTCATTATCCTAAAATTTCAGCCTCCTAGACTCCGTGGTTCCCGA